CCGCTCCGGTCCTTACGTAACTGACTTTGAGTTTCCGGACTGCGGGACCCGCGAGCTGGGGCGCTGGCACTGCTCCGCACGCGCCCTTCCAGGCTTGGTCTAGGGGACTTCCCTCTGTCTCTGGTCTCTCCCAAGTCTCTGTCCGTCTCGGATTCCTGCTTGCTCTAATTCCCCGATTCCCTGTGTCTCTCATCTCTGGTCTCTGTGCAGCCCTGATCCCAGTTTCTCCCTGTCCTCTGTCTTTCTCCTAGAGTTTTCTTGCCCTAACCTACACTTTCTGGTAGACTCCACCTCTTTGGGGTAGAACAGTTTTTCCCTCCAACAAATAGGAGGTGGGGCGTTGTCCGGACAGACCCCAGCCCAAGTTTGCTCCAGAAGGGGGGAGGGGAGAACTATCCGGTAGGGTTGGGGGAGGTTATTGCTAGGCCCACAGCTTCACTTGGGAGGGAGTGGCTGACTTTAGGCAGTATTTTAGGCAGTGTTCCCGTTCTGTGTTTCTGAAGTCCTTTCGTCCAGAAGAAGGAGGCTTGGGAAGAGCCTGGCTGGGCAGCGGGGAGTCCCTGTGAGAACTGCCTGGTGTCTGGTCTGGGTCAGATCCTCAGCTACGGAAGGGGAGAGACACAGGGCCTCTGAAGTTCCAGCGAGCTCCCCACCTTCACCCAAGTTACAGGCCTGGGGGACTTTTGGCAGGAGTTTTGGCAGGAGGCTGGGGATGGGGAGATCAACAGGAGGAGGCCACTGGACTTTTGCATGGGGGGGACACGGATGGTGGAGATAGAAGTAAGAGACTATCAGGTCTAAGGATCACCACCTACTGGGATCACTCCCTGCCTTCAAGGCCTTTCTGTGTGTCAGAGGCAGACACCTCAGAAATAACTCCTGTACCCTGCTGCTGTTGGGCATGTAAACAAGGTGTTATAACAGTCATGAGATGGGAACTATTAATTCTCACTAGGAATGGGGGAGGAGGTAGAGGTTTTAGGAAGAAGGGGATCCAGAAGCTGTAGGAAGTAGAGAGGAGGGAGGGTAAGGGACATCCTGTGCCCTGGAGGCTTTGCAAGCAGCAGAACTGGGCTTGAATCCTGGCCCTGCCATTTCCTTGCCATTTCACCTCTCTGAGTTCCAGGTTCCTTTTTAGTCAGTAATCTGGATCTCACAGGCATTAGCAGAATCAAATGAGGTAATGAGTGTGCAGCCCCAGAGTGGTAGCTGGTAGGGGAGCAGGCCAGTGCGGGTGTTTAAAAAGGGGTGAATGGAGTGGAGAAGCCCTGACGTTTCCTCTGTGTCTATAGGAGAGTCAGGTAGGGCCTGCCAGGTCTCAGCAATGTGGGATGCAGGTGGAGCTCCTGGGTGTGTAGGTGATACTCAGTGAGGCAAGGAAGCCCACACCTGTCTTGTCTGTTGATCAACCCATCCCTGTACTGCCTAGACCAGGCTGGGCTCCCTTCTGTAGGCCCCAGGGGTGCCAATAGAAGCGCCCAGAGCTCCCAGGCTGCGTCACCCCCTAGGCCAGTAGGGGTGGGGCCCCTGGCAGGGCAGGGCCAGCACCCTCTCTGCAGGGTGGATCCTGGCCAGGAGCCTGCCTAGCTGTGCTGAACCGGAACATCCCAGTCTGGCTGGGAAGGTGCTGACACTGTGCAGGCCTTTGGAGGCCCAGAACTCTGCCGGCTGGGGTCGGGCCTAGCTTATGGGACCTGGGCTGTAGGATGAGACAGAGGCCAGAGTGGGAGTGATTGAAGAGAGATAACAAGGAGGAAGCCCTGGAGGGAGAGCCTGAGCGAAGCTGTTGAACCAGAGAGAAACTTCACAGGGTTATACCCTAAGCCTTTCCTGAGTACCTACTGTGTGCCATATACAGGTTTGCTAGCCACAGAGCTGAACAGGATACCCATGAAGGGCTCACCACAGAGGTTATGGTGGGCTGAATTTTGCTAGGGGTTTACAGAGTGAATCTTTATGATAGTCCCTGGGGTGGGGGGCACTCAGAATTTCCTGAGGTCCTGGGATTTGGATCTTTATTAAAGGAGGCAGGATTTCACTCCCTTATAGTGTATAGACCAGTCACTTTTCTCCCTGGGTTTCAGTTTCTCTTTCTGTGAAATGAGAGGGGAGATAAGCCTAGAGTCTCTAACAGTCTTCAGCACCCATTGCTGTAGTCTCCAGTACTTGTTTTGGGACTCAGTCCACCCCCTACCTCACCCCACATGTGGGGGCGTGGACAGTATGGGGCAAGGGCAAGGTTGACTGTGATGTGCCCCCAATTCCTTTTCGTGGCCTACATTCTCTAAGCATAATTAGATCTACACTTACTGTGCATGGAACTCTGTGCAAAGCCTTTAATATGCAGCATTAACTGATGTCATCCTATTTCACGGGAGTTCAGGGAGGTGAGTTGACTTGATCAAAGTCACACAGCTAGGAAGTGGTTGGACAGGGATTTGAACCTAAGTTTCTCTGACTTCAAAGTCCAGACTTACTAAAAAGGGGATAAAAGGGGAAGCCTCTACCCTACAGGTACTAGCCCTTACCCGTGCTCACATTGCCTATGCCTTAACCTATGGAACCAGCCTGACCCCTGCCAGGTAAGCTTGGAGATCTGGGATATTCAGGCTGGGGACCTGGAGGACAGGCTATTCCAGTGCCCAGTGGGCCTGGTATGGGGGGAAAGAGCAGAAGGAGCATCCTATGGGTCAGAGCCCCACCAGAAGTTTCCCCAATAGCCAGCTGCGCTTGATTACTGCTCAGGTGCAAAAGCTGGACACCGAAAGGCAACCTTGGTTATGTGGCCAGCTTTGTGGACTCCAACATCTCCATCTGTAAAACTTTTTTTAAAAAAGATTTTATTTATTTATTTTTAGAGAGAGGGGAAGGGAGGGAGATAGAGAGGGACAGAAACATCATTGTGTGGTTGCCTCTCACACATCCTCTATTGGGGACTTGGCCCACCACCCAGACATGTGCCCTGACTGGGAATTGAACCAGTGACCCTTTGGTTTGCAGGCCGGCACTCAGTCCACTGAGCCACACCAGCCAGGGCTCCATCTGCAAAACTTGAATTTTAGTAGTTGAGTGCAGATGTTTCTTGCTTCATGGGTTTGTGACTGAAGTTGACAGTGGGGTAAAAGGTTAGATGTGGGGTTGGGGTAGCAGTACCTGAGCCTGTGGAAGAAGAGTTTGGGTCAGGAATAGCTTGGATCCTAGGCTGACTGTTTGATAGCTATTTCAGATGAAGGGACTAAGGTTGGAGAAGTTCAAAGGCTTGTCTGGAGCTGTGCAGCTAGTGTTGCAGAGGCTGATGGGAAAAAAGCAAGGGAGGGCCTGGAGAATAAAATCCAGGCAGATGCCAGTTGGAATCCTGGCTCGACCACTTAACTAGGCTTGGAGACATGAAATGACATGCCCAGAAATACACAGAGGAGCGAGTCCCTTCTCACTGCCATCATCTGGAAAATGCGAATAATAGTAATTTCGCCTTTGTCCACTTCCTGGGTTATTGTGCAAGTCAGAGGAGATAAGGCATTTGTAGAATCAGGGGAGAATGTGGGGGCGGGGTATTTCTCAGTACAAAGCTGCAGTTCTGGGTGTGTGTTTGAGGGGAGACGGCACTTCTGACAGCCCCTCTGCTGATATGCTTTATGCTGGTGTTGTGTGAAGAATAGCCCTAAGAATGCCACCACCATTTACTGAATAGTTACTGTGCACCAGGCACTGGGGTCAGAGTTTCACCTCTCATTGTCTCCTTGTCAGGCAGGTGGTGGCCTGACCCATACTAGGTCCCTCTAAAACCTTTGCGTACAGCTCTGGAGTAATAGTAGCTAACACTAATGGACAGTTCACTGTGTGCTAAGCATTGTGCAAAATGTTTTATGTATGAGAAGGGTCCCAAAAACCCCCCGGGATTATCTTCTGGAGGGTGCGCCCCTTGTAGTACAGGCTTTCCCCACTAGGTGAGTGTCCTAGGAAGCCATCTGTATCAGCATAGCAGCTGGCATTGTTGTGAGAGGCTGTGTTTGGCTTCAGTGAATTTTTTGTTTGAAGACTCTTTCAACACGTTTGCCCATTTCATGATGGGTGATTTACCAGTGCACCTGCCCACACTGCACTGAGTATTCAGCAGTTTCTGACCAAAATGGCATGACCCATGCCCCACCTTCCCTATTCACCTGATCTTGCCCCCAGCAATGTTTTTTTGTTTCCACAGAGGAAAAAAGTCCTCAAAGGGAAACGTTTTGTCGATGTGGAGGAGGTGAAACAAAAAACGACAGAAGCACTAAAAGGCATCAAAATCTATGAATCAAAACTGTTTTGAGCAGTGAAAAAAAGTCTCAATAGGTGTATTGCATCACATGAAGAGTACTTTGAAGGTGACTGAAGTTAAACATGTAAGTGTAAATACACAATTTTTTTATAAATAAATTGTTTTTGTTTTTTTTTTGGATCCCCCCTCGTATATTCACTCATTTAATCCTCACAACAATCCTGGAAGTTGGTACTAATGCTATCCTCACTTAACAGATGAATAGTCGAGTCACAGAGAAGTTAAGAAAAGGGTCACAGAGCCAGTGAGTGGTAGGGCTAGGGTTTGAACCCAAGTTCTTAGGTTTCATCCTTGGGGCATTCATCATAGTTGTAATTCAGTTAATACTATATGATTGCCTCCTCACTGCACTGTAGGCTCCCTGAGGGCAGGGATCATGTCTGTTCTCTTTACAATGTAGCCCTAACACCTGGCACACAGTAGGTGCTCAGTTAATATTTGTCCATAGGGATCCTGCTGCCTCCACTGGGCTGTGCCCTGGGAGTCCTGGTGAGCTCAGGGTGATTATCAGATTATCCGATTGCTGACGAAGAGGCTGTCTGCCCCAGCAGAGCCCCAGCAGAGGCGGTGGGCGGGGGGCGGGCAGAGTTTCACTCCTGGCCCAGGCCCAGGCTGAAGAGGGGCCCCCAAGAGCTTGTTTGTGGGTTGTGCTTGTGTCTCACTGCTGTCCTTTGCTTCCATGTGCCACTGTGGCGATGGCTCCACGGCTTCTCCTGACTGGCTGCATGACCCCGGCGGCTCCTTCTGGGTGAGTACTGGTTGGCTAAATGACTGCCCTGTGGGCTCAATTCTAATGTATATCCTGTGGCTCTGGGGCCACTACGAGGTGTGCTGGGAGGCCCAGGGGTGGCAGTGGGAGAATTGAGAGAGAGTACTCTGTGATGTTAGGATCTTACCATAGTCAGCTGACTTCTCTCCAGAAGTTCCACACACTCATGGGATTTTTGGGTCATGTGATACAATGCAACAGTCTTCGGGGCCAGACTGGTCTGGAATAAAATCCTTATTCTGCCACTTGTTGCTGGGTGGATCTTTGCATCTCAGTTTCTCATCTGTAAAATGGGAATCTTAACCCTTACCTGATGTGTTTGTTCTTTTCTTCATGTAATCCCTGTGAGGTCAGGGATTTTTGTTCATCTGTTCACTGATGTGTCCCCAGCACCTAGGATATAGTGGCATGTCATAGGTGCTCAATGAGTATTTCTGAGTGAACCTATTTATTCATTCAGTGTCACTATGCCCGTCAATGTTCTTTGTATTGGATTAAAAGACTAATGGATATAAAGTGCCCAGCATCGTAAGGGCTCGTGAATGTGGGTTTCCTCTTTGCTCGCTAAATTGAGTTCCTGGGGCTGTAGGGCAGGGCTCTGTTAAGTGAGCTCTGGGTCCTCTGAACTGAGCGTGGGGCCAAGCCCATCAATCAGCAGCGAGGGTCCTAGGCAACTAGACTCAGGGCCTCTGCTTAGGACTGGGGAGGGAGTGGCAGAGCCTCTAGGTTTCATCAGAAGAGAGAGGCGTCTGGGGAGGTCTGGGGCTGAAGGTGGGGGGGGGGGGGGTGATGGGAGACTGCCTTCCAGTACTTCTACTTCCCTAGCTGTGCAACCTTGGACAAATCGTTTACTTCCCTGAATCTCAGAAACCTTGACTGTGACTTGCATATCGTAACACTTCCCCTACATGGGCTTGGGGAGGAGCAAAGGAGAAGTGCCCAGCGCAAGGCCTGTGTCATAATTGTTGGTTTCCTCCCAGCCCTGGGCTCATTTTGGGAGGGGACCAAGTAAACGTCCCTCTTTTTGGCTCTTTCCTCTTCCTTTTAACTTCTCACCTGGCTGGGGCTGGGATCTAGGAGTCAGCAGCCCCAAACCCATTAGCAGCCTGGCCAGGGCCATGGGCTAAGGGCTGGGCTCTGCCTAGTGTACAAGGAGCTCAGTGGAAGTCCCAGCCTGGCCATTCTTTTGCTGTGTGACCCGATTCAGTAACCCACTTTTTCTAGGCCTCCATTGCTTCACCGATAAAATAGGCTTAATAAAGGGCATTTCTCTTGAAGAATTATTTAATGAGAAACTGGGTGGATCAGACATTAACATTGCTATTATTATTTGGGTCTGGCTGCGGAGGCTCCAGGGAGGGCCCTGGAGAATTCATTCATCTCAGCCTAGGGATCCTGAGAATCTCTAATCATCATATGTATTATTGCCATTTATTGGATATGTCTTATATGCTGGGCTGGTTGTTTTTGCCATTTTAGATACATTTTCTCATCTAGTCCTCACAGTGACCCAGGCATTGTGATCCCTACTTTATGGAGGAGGGAACTGGTGATGAGTAAGTCAAGTGAATTACCCATAGTCACATAGTTGTATAGGGGTGGAGTTGGGGCTCAAGTCTCAAGTCTTCTTACCCCAAAGCACAAATTCTTCTTCTTCTTTTTTTTTTACTTTTACTAGTATTTATTTTATTTATTTTATGCTGACTTTACTCCCAAGCCATAAGTTTTTGTTTCTTCAGTTTCTTCTGGGATATCTTTTTCTTCTGTGCAACTTCCTCTTCTGGTTTAGGAACAATCTGTTCTTTTTCAGTGAGGATCATCTCAGTATGGCAGGGAGAGCTCATGTATGGGTTGATCCGCCCATGAGCTCTGTAGGTTCTACGTTGCATCTTGGGAGCTTTGTTCACCTGGATATGCTCAATGACCAGAGAATCTACATCTAAACCCTTAAGTTCAGCATTACTCTGTGTTTTTAAGCGTGTGCAGCAAAAACTCAGCACTCTTTTTGGGCCACTGACTCTGTGTCCAGCCCCACTGTTTTTGGCCTGGGCACACCTACCAACTCCACCGTTGTAGCAACGGAATGGGACACACTGCTTCTTCAAAGCCAAAGCACAAATTCTTAATGTGAAACTGTCTTATCTCCCCCAAGGAGACAGAGACTGTGTTTGAGTCATCTCTGTTCATTTCCAATGCCCGGCACAGGGCCAGCGGGAACTACTGAAATGTTTGCTGAATGAATGCAGTCACACACGCACGCACGCACTCACGCGCGCAGTACTTCCTCCCAGGCCTGCTGCTCTAAGAGTTTTGAAGAAGAAAGACAGCTGAAAGTAGGAGAGAGCCAGACACCATAGCAGTCAGAGTCAGACAGACCTGGCTTTAAGTCCCGTATCTATTGCTTGCTTATTCTGTGACTTTGGGCAAGATATTTAACCTTTTGGAGCCTTAGTTTCCTTACCTGTAAAATGGGGATAGTTAAAAAGCCTACCTATCTCCTAGATCCTGGAGAGTTCTTTTGAAGATTAATAATGCATATGAGGCACATGGTGAGTAATCAATGATAGTAATTATTGTTACTATAGTTATAATTATGAGTATAATTTTGGGATTATAAAGATATCATTCTTGGGACAGTGAAGACCAGGTCTGGGAGGGGTGTGCTGGAGACAGGCAGGGAGCAACCTAGCCTGACAGGTTCTGAAAGGACCCTGTAAGTGAAGGGAGGGAATAGACCTCTTGGATGGTCCTCTAGTCACCTAGCCATCTGCTTTGACTGTATCATCTGCTTTCACTAACAACCACTCTGTGACAGGGCATGGGACACAGAGATGAATCTGTGTTGTCTCTGCTCCCTACCTCCCTGGGAGCTCAGTCTAATTTTGGGGAGAAAGACATAGAACCACCAGCTCCACCTTTGATTGATGCCCTGAAGTATGAGCTGTGAATATATTCTCAGGCAAAGACCAGGAGGAAGGGCATTCCTAGTTGAAGGAACTACTTTGCCAACCTACAGCCATGACCTGCACTCAGGGGTTGGAGATGGGGTTGGAGAGACAGACTCAGGAGAGGTGGGGGTCTTGACCCAGAGGCGATGGGGAGCCATTGAATATTAAGCAGGGGAAAAACATGGTCTGGCTTGTATTTTGGGAGAACACTTGTTGTGGAGGATGAACAGGAGGGGAGGGATGGAGGCAAATCTCCAGGTGAGAGATGCTGAGATATGGGGCAGGGACTGAACCATGGGATGGGGAGCAATGGGGTGGATGTGTGGGCTGTTTCGGAGGCAGAGGCCCGCAGGATGTGACAGTGGATTGCAGTGGGCAGGTAGGAACGGAAAGAGGTGAGTGATACCTTGGGGTCAGGACGGTGTTGGGGCCTGTTGGGGTCTCTGCGGACGGACATAGTGGGAGAAGGAGCCAGAGCTGTACTGGGGCGGGGAAGCCACCTGTCTGCTCCTTGCCACCTTTTGCCTGAGTCCCCCAGTAGAACCTATGTCTGAGCTGGACACCGGGAAAGGCCCCTGGCCACCAGGGCCCATATCTCCCACTCCTGTCTTGGGGAGTCCCTTATGTTGATGCTGGCAGGTCTGGCAGTGAGGACAGCTCTTTGGGGAAGAGGTCACGTAGGAGCCGCGTGGTACAGAGAAGCTCTGGGCACTAGGGCTACCAGTGTCACTGAATGTCTGCATGACCCCTGAAATCACTCTCTCTCTTGCCTGCCTTTTCCTCGCCTTGAGAGCAAATATAAGAAAGCCTGTTTTGCCTGCCTGACTCAATGATAAAATCTAGTTAGAGGCAACAATAATTTATTGAACACTGACTGTGTACTATGTTTTGGGGGGGACGAAGATGACTCAGACAGGGATCCTACTTCTCAGTAAGCCTGAAACACTTCTGAGCAAGTCCCGCTCAGCAGGGCGTTAGGCATCGGGGAAGAGATATCTAGCCTGGGATTTGAAGGATGAATAAAAGGAGGGAACAAATTCCTAGGCATAGGGAACGGCATGTGTGAAGGCTTGAACCCACTTATGTGCTCAGGTACGGAAGTACTGTCATTTGGTGTGGCGAGAGCGCACAGGGAGAGGGAGGTGGTGGTGGGAGTGAGGCTGACAGGGAAGCAGGGCCCAGACCCTGCTGGGCTTTGAAGACAGCCACTTCGCAGCTACCCTCTCCTCGCTGCATCCTCACAGCTGCCTGCTGTTCCCGCTGAGCCTGCCAGGGCCCTTCCTGCCCTGCTCCTCGCCCACCTCCCCTCCTGGTTCCTTTCCCATCCCTACCCTAGTCAAACTCAGTGGCTGCCTCTCTCAGGAGCCAACAACCCGCCTTCCCCACCAGCCTGCCACTTATGAGTAGTGTGGCCTGCAGTCCTCTCTGAACCTTAGTTTGCACCTCAGTGAAATGGGCACAGCAGGCCTTCCTCACCGGGAGGGGTGGAGGCTTCAGTGAGCTAATCCCCACAAGTGGCCTTGCACATGGAATGGACACCCATGAAAAGGATTATGTCTGCATGATTTGAACTGCTCTGTCCCCTTGGTCCCACCCACTGCTTCCACTGCCTCTTTTGGCAGCCTGATCTGGCCAACAAAGGAAGGAAGGGATTAAGAAACAAGCCCAAATGTCCAGAGGGGGCCTGGCCCACCGCCAGCCCACTCTCCTTCCCCTTGCTCCCCTTGGCTTCGGGCCCAAGGACACTCAGTCTTGAGGCCTGGCTCCTCCCAACTCCCCGCCCTAGAAGCTTCTCCCTGGCTAGAGGCCAAAGCCACCAAGCAGTCTTGAAAAAGGGACAGATACTTTGAAGAAAAATGTAGTTTTGTTTTTTTCTCCCTGGAAGCTGTTAATCAGGTCCTTTTTTGTGTGTGATTGGGAGAAGAGCAAGTGCAATGTCCTGTACTGTGGGAGGTCCCACAGTCTGGGCAGAACTGGATCCCGGAGCCTCCTGGCTTCTACAGCAGAGGCTGGTAACCAAGCCCTTTCTGG